TGCATGTAAAGAATTATCCTAACTTTAATTAATTCTAAATCATCCCGGTCCAGCTCATGATCATTGAAATGGAACTAGTGAACTCAATTACAGTACTTAATTTACATCTCTTACAATCCACCCTCGTGCCTCTCTCCTGGTGACGTGGGACATCATAATCACTCCTTATTGAGACTTAGCGTTTTTGCTGATATGACTATGATGAGCTTGTGTGGGACTGGCTCTGATATCATTTCACGTTGATATTGTTCATTTTATATATTTTTTGTGTTTACAATTTTTTAAATGCGTTTTCGCAATTAGAAGACATCTACTCATATAAGTATCAAGAAATTTTCATGAAATCGCTCAAAATGCCCCACCTTGTATATATTTATATACACACATATCACAATCTTTTAATCTTTATGCATGGCTTGATGGAATCAGATTCTTTGAATGCTATAGGGATATGTATATGTATGGATAACCATGAAAAATGAGTTGGCACTAGCTAGGCATTAATGTGGTCCAAAGAGCATGGGCATGATTTCAATAACTTTAAAAGCTTGAAGAAGCAATCATATATATATATATATATATATATATATATATAGGTAACTAATGACTTAATCACTGATGTGGACTTCACCAAACATCCATAGCTTCTTCCTAGTGAAGGTAGCCGTTGTGGATTTTGATGGGTCCAACCTAGGAGCTCCCACTCTCACAACTCATGATCACTCATGCACAATATCAATTAATTTTCTATATAGCATTTTCAATGAATTAATGCTCTTTCTCAAGTTTCTACATGTAACATGCTTTACCAAGGTTGGTATTCACAGTATTGATCGCGATATTATTTCAGTATTGATCGCGATATTATTTCTGATATTAATTATGATAGCAATGTAATAAATTCGGATCAATATCAATATAAATTTATTGTATTAATTAATTTATAAAAGTATGTAACGATATCAAATTCTTAAAAAAAAAAGTTATAATAACACAAAACTTAACAAAATTATTAACCCATTATTATGGTGGTTATTTTGAAAAATAAAACCCTTAAACAATTATCATAAAAAAACACAAACAAATAACCTCAATTGCATATAATAAAGCTAGACATTACATTATTTGTACGTACTTGAAGATGCAAGAAATTCATTCTCCTTTCTCTCTTTACAATTCTTCCACTCCAATCTCCCCTTCACTCACTCCGTAATGACCTATTTATAGTCCATTACAGATACTCTCACTAATTGATTACATAGGGCTCCTATTCAAGGATTTTCTTCCTCTTGGTCCTGGCTTTCCAATGGGCTTGATCTTCTTTAGTGGATCCTCAAAGCTCGGCCCATTCCGTAGTGCTTTTGCATGGGCCACACTTCAATTGTTTGACCCGACCCCATGCCAGCGAGCTATAATCGGCCCATGCCACATATTGCATCCTCAACTGCCCCCATAATTACTCCCTATTGATTAGGGGGTAATTATTAGAGGCTGCTAATCATGACCTGACGGCTCGAGAAAATCGCGTGGGAGAATGGACGGTTAGATTTGGGGGTCGGTGTTTCGAGATTCAAGAAAACTCCTCGCTTTCCTGACTCCTCGACCTTCGGGCCTTCCTTGTCTTTATAAACTTCATAGATGTTCCATCGATTCTCTTTACCGTCTCCATCTCACTTTCTGTTGCTCGAATCCTCTCCGGCGATTTTTTGCAAAAGATCCTCCTTCCAGCGACTTTGCAGTACTCTTTGCCGTTTTCACTTTCTGAGGTTAGTTTCATTTGCATTTTTCTTTCGAAAGACCTCTTTCTATTCCTTACAATCTTCATTCATTCACACCATGACTGTAGATCTAGATGTTCTTCACATGAAACTTCACCTCCCTTACGATATACAAATTAGAAATTGCCCTATAGATGTGAATATTAGAACCGGTGCTGGCCTTCTTCTCGGCGAGGTTCTATTTTCACACCTTCATCTTAATCTCCTTAGGTTCCCTTTGCATCCCTTCTTTTGTTATGTTTTCAACAAACTGAAACTTTCCCCTTTGCAAGTAAACCCAAATTTCCTTAGGATTTTGTCTGTTATGCTACTTCTGATCCGCGACAGAGGTCTAGATCTGGACCTCATAGATCTTCTCCTCTGTTACAAGGTTAGCAAGATCAGGATTGATGAACCGTTTTACCACCTTTACCCCATTGAGAAGAGGTCCATCTGCACAGATAAGATCAAATCCGAGAAGGGTTGGAGGAAATATATAATTGGGGTTAGGGGAGCCTGGTTTCCTCCAGTTGCGGAGGATTTCCCTATCCCGAGCGCTTTTGGAGAGTGCTCTGTCTCTTCTTACAAAAAATACAAAACCCATAAGAGTGACTGTCCTTGCGAGATTTGCATTCCCCATTTTTGTACTTTCCTGTGCCGTTCCTTAGGCATTCCTTGTGATGATTTGAGCTACGGTGTGTGCAGTGATAGGGATAACTACCTGAAGCAGTACGTTCTGACCAACGTTCCCTCCTGCTCGGACCTCCTCACTTCAGACAACCTCCTTGCTCTCTCAGCCCTCAGCAGGATAATGAGTCAACTCCAGATCCTTTCCTTTGGCAGGAGGAAAACTGCCCCCAAGCCTGTTATCACCCCTGCAGCAAATTCTTCACCAGCTTCAGTATCTTCCTCTACTACCCTTTCTGATACCACTCCTTCTATCGATCCGATCGTGACGGTCATTGACCCGATCTTCAACATAACGACCACCAGTCCGAATGTGACCCCCTCTGTCAGCAATATTCCCGGCTCTACTACTGCTTCCGCACGGGAAAAGGCAAGAGGAAAAAGGCATCAGCCTGATAGTGCCCTCAGCCCTGATGATGTTCCTTTGTCACAGAGGGCCAGTCCCTCTGGGCCGAATGTGCTACCTCCAGCAAGGCATCCTCAGACCAGGCCCCCCACCCCTTCTGGGCAAGCCTCTGCCTCAGGAACGGCACCATGGAACCCTCGCTTCATTCGAACAGACGGATCGTCTGTAAAACCGAACGAGACCATGTTCAAGGATGGTCAGACCGCTATGGCATACTACAGAAGCATGTGGACTCCCAAGGACATTGAGGTAGCCAAGGGTCTGTCCCAAAGGGAGGTGTTCAGCCTATTTCCCTAATCTACCATGGAGGTAACTTTTGCCTTTTAGTCAATAAATCTTTATATAGTCTTTACACTTAGTTTCTTCTAACCATCTGCTTGGCTTAACCAGTTGTCCTGTATATCTCTACAGACCTTGTATGGGATGATGGCTATGCAGAAGCAGGTTGAGCTTATGAACACCAAGGTTCGTACGCTCTCTGACAGCCTTAATGCAGCGAACAAGGAGAACGATGATTTGGTTGCTCAGAAGACCGGGTTGATGGTTCAGCTCGGTAAGGTTGAAAAGGAGAGGGACTCACTAAGGAAGGAGACCGACTCTCTTCAGGATGAGAGGAATGCATTGCAGCTCGAGAAGAGCGTCTGGCACACCGAGCGGGAATCCCTTAAGGCTGAAAAAGAAAAACTACTACGCCTTCTGAGTGATGAGCAATCCGCACGGATGGCCTTTGAGAAAAGGGCTTTGAACGAGCGCAATGTTTTACTCGACACCATTAGTAGGGTAAATGGTGGTATGCTAGCTCTGCATGCACGGTTTTCCAGAGTTGGGGCCCTTAGATATGCTCAGGGGTTCCGAGAGGGTTATGCCGATCGTGTTCCGGGTGAGGGTCAGACTGGTTCTACCCCTGATGATGTTGATAGGGAGCTGGAGATTGACCCTCCGGGTACTTATGCCGATCCAGACTCCACTACTGCTGAGGGCATATTTGATTAATGCCAAGAGATTGCCTCGTCCAGGATCACTCCTACTCCTTCTACTGCCCCGACTTTGGACATTCTTCCTCTGTCCACCGTGACTCCATCTGTTACTGCTGCTGATGATAACCCTCAACGGAATGATTCTTCCAACGCTATTCGGGATAGGACTCCGCAGAATGATTCTGTCATTCAGCTCGACTCTCCTCCCCTTGAGGACGGTGACACCAACAATGATGAGGAGACCGTCCAGCACCATCAAGAAGCTGACGGGGCAAACGCTTCTTAGTTAGAACCTTTTTGATGTATTGACTTTCCTTCTTTTATATTTTTGCCATCTGTATACCTCATCGTTTTTGTAACTCTTTAAACTTTACTATTAATGAGATGGCCGACTTCTGATCAAACTCTTTCTGTAAATTCTCCGATTTAATGATCTGATCTGGTTCTTCCCCGTATGTGCCACAGCAAAAGTAGTTTTTTGTGCAAGTTTTTGACGTTTGGCTCATGGTGCTGAAGGCCACTTACTTTGCTGATCGGTTGGCGCTAGGCCACAACGCCACTTTTTTTTTTTTTTTTTTTTTTTTTTTTTTTTTTTTTTTTGACGAGTTTTTGGCGTTCGGCTCATAGTACTAGCTGCCACCTATTTTGCTGAGTGGTTGGCGCTCGGCTAGAGTGCCACTTGTCACTTGGCTTTTATTTCTTAGCAAGTTTTTGGCGTTCGGCTCATAGTGCCAACTGTCACTTACTTTGCTTAGGTGCCTAGCGCTCGGTTAGAGTGCCACTTGCCACTTGACTTTTATTTCTTAGCAAGTTTTTGGCGTTCGGCTCATAGTGCCAGCCGCCACTTACTTTGCTTAGGTGTCTGGCGCTCGGTTAGAGTGCCATTTGCCACTTGGCTTTTATTTCTTAGCAAGTTTTTGGCGTTCGGCTCATAGTGCCAGCTGCCACTTACTTTGCTTAGGTGCCTGGCGCTTGGCTAAAGTGCCACTTGCCACTTGACTTTTATTTCTTAGCAAGTTTTTGGCGTTCGGCTCATAGTGCCAGCTGCCACTTACTTTGCTTAGGTGCCTGACACTCAGCTAGAGTGCCACTTGCCACTTGGCTCTCTTTTTTTTTATTTTTTACTTAATCAACCTCTTAAAGGGTAATATTATTTTTATAAATCTCAGAAACTTATACATTCGCCTGCATTCAATTGAAAATGAACAAAATTCAATATTGAAATTCAACTTTTCATTGATAATACCTCTTCAGAGAAGTAGCATTCCAAGGCTTGTTAACCAGCCTTCCGGCCATGGTCTCCAAGGTATATGCCCCATTTCCTAGGGCTTCTGCAATTCTGTATGGACCTTCCCATGGTGACATCATCTTTTTAACTATCCCCACCTTTTTTTTCAGAACCAGATCACCCGGTGTAAAGTCTCTGTGCTTTACTTTTTTGTTTTGGCTATTCGCAAGCGTCTGCTGGTAGGATGCGAGCCTTACCGCCGCTGCATCCCTTTTTTCCTCCAACAAATCGAGGTTAAACCTCAACATACTGTCATTATGCTCTCGGTTCCATGCCAAACTTCGAACAGTCGGAACCAAGTGCTCGATCGGTATAACTGCCTCGGTACCATACGCCATGGCGAATGGGCTTTCTCTGGTCGGTCACCTTGGAGTCGTTCTGTAAGCCCATAAGACGTTCGGTAGTTCATCTAACCATTTTCCTTTCTTTTCTTCAAGCTTTTTCTTGATACAAGCAAAGATTGTTCTATTTGTAATTTCCGCCTGTCCATTGGCCTGGGGGTGACTTACTGCCGCCAGCTTTTGATTAATTCCATATTCCTCCAACAACCCCCTCACTTGCTTGCTGTCAAGGTTGATCCCATTATCCATGACGATTGACCTCGGAACACCAAACCGGCAAATAATATTACTCCAAATGAACCGTCTCACATGAGTTTGAGTTACGCTAGGGTACGGCTCTGCGTCCACCCACTTAGTAAAGTAATCTGTAGCCAGTAGCACATACTTGTTCTGAGCTCTTGCAGTTGGTAGAGGTCCAACCACATCCATCCCCAACTGTGCGAAAAGCCATGGTGTGGCCATTACGTGTAAGTCCTTGGGTGGTTGGTGAATTAGTGGTCCGAACCTTTGGCACTTATCGCACCTTCTGGACAATTCTTTCGCATCTCGTGATATGTTCGGCCAGAAGTACCCTTGCGTCATTGCTTTGTGCGCTAAAGACCTCCCCCCTTAGTGGTTTCCACATACACCTTCATAAATAGCTCGTAGTATCTGCCGAGCCTCTGTGGGGGTGACGCACTTTAAGTACGGTCCGGAAAAAGATCTTCTGTACAACTGGTTATTCACTATGGCGTACTTTGCAGCATTTGATTTGATTTTCCTAGCCTCATCTCTTTGTTCAGGCAGAGCACCATCCCGGATGTAGGTTAGGATCGGATCAATCCAGCTTGGCTCATATGGAATAACATTCACTTGCCAAGGATCTGAGCCCCAAGGTTCTTCGAAAATGGATGGCTGGTTTAATATTCCTATTGGAATCACCCTTGCCAATGTTTCTCCAGAACCCGAGGCACTACATGCTAGCCGATCGGCATCCTCGTTATGCTCCCTCGGAATTTGAATGAATTCAATTTTTTCAAAGTTTTTGGCTTCCTGCATAACAGCTGAATGATATGCTTCCATCGTTTCATCCTTGGTTTCATACTCGCCATTCAACTGCCAAACAATTAACTGCGAATCACTGAAAACAGTCAAATTCCTAACCTTCAACTCCTTGGCGAGCTTAATTCCTGCCAGCAGTGCTTCATACTCCGCTTCATTGTTCGTGGCTCCAAAGTCAAGGCGAAGCGCTTGACTTAAGGATGTACCTTCTGGCGTCTGTAGTTTGATCCCAATGTCTGCCCCCATCTGATTTGAGGATCCATCGACGAAGAGTTTCCATAAGCAACCACGAAGGTCTTCCTCCATGTCCTCTGAATCACATTCTAGTAAAAAATCTGCCACCGCTCACCCTTTGACTGCTGTTTAGGGTTCGTAGGGGATATCAAATGAGCTTAACTCGATGGCCCACTTCATCATTGTGATACCCCTAGGATCCGAGACACGGGTTGATCAGGCCCAGGCCCAAACCCGAGGGAAATATCAAACAATCAATATGTAACCGAACACAGAATACAAGATAAAGAAATAAAAATAATAAACTGAAGGAATGCTAATTGAAAATTCTTAAAATAGAATTATTAAAATCCGAAACTCCAAAACTCCATAAGTTTAACAACTTGGGAATCCATCCAGTGGACCCCTTATTAAAATCCATTATCTCGAAGTTCACTATTAAATACTAATATAAAATGAAATAATGATAATGTCCTACTTTTAAACAAACTAAAAGAGTAGATAAGTCCTCCAGCTGCAGATCATCAACCTTGAGACTTGAACTTCTAATAACCTGAAAAAAATAAATCGCGGGTTAAACCCTACGAGTAAGCTCTCTCTATCAAGCCTCTGAAAACCAATAAACAGATCATCTTTACTAAAATCATCCCTAATAAAGCTTTAACTTTAATATTTGATGCTACATATATATATATAAATACTTTTATATATATAGTACCATAATCATATATGTTAATAGGGCATTAAATTGTCCAAACCACTCACCACTGATTAATTATTCGTCATACCTAGACCAATTTCAAATTTATAATTTTTTCCCATAAAGTAAACTCCACTCACCTTAACTCCATCCTAAATAGTAATTTAGTCATTTAAACAATAAGTTACAATTTAAAGAAAAATCCAATAAATCCAAAACCCAATAATACTTTTGACTATTTAAATTACATATCCAAAATTTAAGCTTTGACAAATCATCCATGTCTCCCCCACATTATTTTATTAACATATATAAAATAATACACTAGCCTGTATATACTAGATTATTCTAGTCATAATCCAACCTATACATACCCTAACCTTAGATGGCATTTTAAACATCTAAACACATAGCAATTTAATTATGCATCGACAAATCAACCATGCCATTTGTAAATATATTTATTTATATACTAGCAATTCAACCATGCTTCCTTAAGTATATTTCCTTATAAAATTAATTAGCAATTCAACCATGCTTCCCATATATGAAATTTATTCATAACTAATAAGGCAATATATCAAAGCCTTTGGCAACTCATCCATGCCTACAATTCAACCATGTACTAACTTTAAACTTAACTCTAAGTTTAATCATACCTAGACTTCACATGCATATTATAAACATGTCCTTAGTTTAATAATCGAGTATCAATTACGATTTTAAATCAACCATACCATCCACAAATAAAGTTATACCAAATAAGATTTATAGTATTTAATAATCTTAAATGATATAACTATACACATATATTTTATAATATATATGTGTGTATAATACATTGCATAACAATCGTTGACTATTTAAAATCATAACTACATATATATACATATATATATATATATATATATATATATATACACACACACATATATAAACACCTCCTTCCGTGGCAAAATATTTAATTAATTATATTTATACCAATTAAATGCTACTAAGTATCTTAGTAACACTCTGAGCCTCTCAGAACACCACGATCGTATCCGCTGATGGTTGTTTTCAACCCAAACAGCTTAAAAACCAACTCTGGGAATTCCCTCAACCCCATAAGAGTTTTCTGGGACCTTAAACACCACTGCACGTGCCCCCACGCGCCGCCACATGCTCCAAAACCCACTGCACGCGCTTCCACGGGCTATCCTTCACTGGCAGACGCGTCCACGCGCCACGCGCCCTCACGCTTCGGTTATATTCTCGGCGTGTGTGTGGCATGCTCCTATTGGCCAACCTTCAGCGTTTGGGTGCACTCACCCACACCGGATCAAAATTGTGTTGACCAGACCTTTTCTACGATTCAGATGCTCAAGCATACCAACCTATCATGTTCCGCGAAGCACTGAATCAACCACCTCTTTATCAACTCTTCTCAGCCGCTGGATCAGCCTGCACACCATATCAAGGTGGTCCGCATAGCACCCACTCCTTCTCCCCACCTAGCAGCCCCATCAACCACCCAGAATAGCGCGCACACCCCTTATCATAGGCCGCGCCGCACTGGATCAGAATCCCTTAGTTATAGCGCCGATTCCAGAGACACATATATGAACAGTATACTATATTTATATATATACTGCTATATATAACCATAAATTTTAAACTAATACCATAAAATATAAATTAATTCCAATAAATGTTTAGAAAATTTCAGAACAACCCAAAAGCTCTATTTATTAGTTTGGGCAAAAGAACATAAATAGTTAAATTAAGATCCGTTTAATTTAATTAATCCTTCCACACAAAGTTAAAGCAAATTATAAAAATTTCAGAAACAAAGTTTAATTAACCTAATCTCACATACAAGATTTAAATCATCAAACGATACATACATATATTCACATGGTTAATTCTATAATTTTGTAAAGCTTAAACATGCTCATATAATCCTATTAATAAATTATTTTAATTGGAACTAAATAGTTAAATAGAAAACATAAAACTATAAATTTCGATAATCATGTGATAGGCTTATGAGCCCTAAGAGGAGAAATAGAGAAGAACTTGCCTTTCTTTTCCAAATCCGGTCTCCTCCTTCTTTGATTCGGTCTCTTCTTCGTTAGCTCTTCTTCTTCTCTCTCTTACTCTCTCTTATTTTCTAACGTGAAAAACTTTCATCGATAAAATCTTGCGTGTATATTTATACACATAAATATCTAATCCTATTCCAATAATGACTACCAAATAAAAAGAAAACTAACAATAATCTTTAAATAATATAATTATATACACATATATTATATTATATATACACATATATTATATTAATATATTTGTATACTTCCTTCTTTAATTAATAAATATAATTAATTAATTAACCTCAAATAATAATAATAATTATATAGCCCAATCAAAATCCTTTAAATAACCTCATAACCATGGGCCTCTAATTAATTACCCAATAAGGCTTCATCCAAACCCAAGACCATATCCTTTGGTCCAACTTCTCTTAAGCCAATTCCAATTAATTTAAATAAATAAAATAATTACTCAACCACTTAAAATATTTAAAAAATAATAATTACACGAAGCACATTAACAAAACATGAAGTTACAACTAATTCACACCATATCAAGAAAATCAACACACCAACAATCAACATATATAATCACGAAACCATTTAATTAAAACAAGACAATTAATCTACACACTTATTAAATTAAAACAAATCATTTAAAATAAATAAATAAATAAAATAAAATAATAAAAGCAACTCAATCAAACAAAACATTTTAAAAATAAAATAATGGTAATTAATTCCAATTAATAAATCCTTTAAAATATCGGGGTATTACAGTCATCCTTCCTGACAGGTCTGGTTTGAGCAGGATTATTCTAATAGGGAAAGTGGTTAGAACGATGATAGGATGGGATTCAAAATAATGCATGAGCTTTCTTTTCGTATGCACTAGCGAGAGTATCACCCGCTCTGCCTTTGGATAACGTCTTTCGGCCTCGGTCATTGTCTTGCTAACGTAGAACACTGGATATTGTTTCCTTTCTGCATAGCGGATCAAAACACCACTTGTCGCGATATTGGATACTCCGAGATATAAAAATAGCTTTTCGCCCGGCTCTGGAGCTGACAGGACCGGAAAATTCTGCATATACTTTTTCAGAGCAGTTAACGCTAGGCGCTGTTCATCCCCCCAGACTTGCCTGCCATGGCTTCATATTGTGTCAAAAAATGGTTTGCAGCGATCTGACAATTTGGAAATGAACCGGCTCAGTGCAACGATCCACCCCGTAAGTGTTTGCACTTCTTTTACTGTCGTTGGCTCAGCATTCTTAGTCAGAGCTTCTGCTTGGGCAGGGCTTGCCTCGATGCTTCTATGATTAACCACGTGCCCCAGGAATTGGCCAGAACTTACACCAAATGAGCACTTGGTTGGATTGAGTTTCATTCCATATTGCCTCAACACATCAAATACGTCTCGTAGATGTTTCACGTGGTCAACTTTCTTCTTACTTTTTACCACCATGTCATCAATGTAGGTTTCCACGGTCTTCCCTATTTGTCTCTTAAAAATTTTGCTAATAAGTCTTTGGTAAGTTGCTCCAGCGTTCTTCAGCCCGAATGGCATGACTTTGTAGCGATACGTCCCGCGTTCGGTAACGAAAGAAGTTTTTTCTTCATCAGCAAGGTCCATGGAGATCTGATTATAACCTGAATAAGCATCCAAAATGGTCAAACGTTCATATCCAGTAGTTGCATCCACCATTTGATCAATCTTGGGCAGCGGGAAGCTATCTTTCGGACAGGCTTTGTTTAAATTGGTGAAATCAATGCACACTCGCCATTTCCCATTCTTCTTCTGCACAACAACAACATTTGATAACCAGTAAGGGTAGTACACTTCTCTTACAAATCCCGCATCAAGCAACCTGTCGACCTCCTCGGCAATAATCTGGTTGTGCTCGGGAGCAAACCGTCGCTACTTCTGCTTTACAGGTTTTGCATTGGGATTAACGTTCAAGGAGTGACATGATACAGAAGGGTCAATCTCTGGCATGTCTAGGTGACTCCATGCAAATACATCTGCATTTTAAGACAAGAAATTAACTAACTCCTACTTCTCCTCCTCAGCGAGTCGTTCCCCTACTCTGGTTGTTCGTTCCGGTCGAAACTGATCGATCTGCACATCAACCAGAGGTTCTTCAGTCAAGTCCACTGGCTCTTCCTCCCCATTCTGCTTAGAGGGAGGCTCCTGTAATTGCTATCTCGGACTTGCTGAACGAATGGGAGCTTTCCCTTTTCCGGCACACTTCAGCGTTATTGAATAACATTCTTTAGCTGCAACCTGGTCCCCATAAATGTCAATCACTTTGGTCAATCATTTTAGTACTACAGTTATTCTATATTTTAAGGATACATTTTGCCACTTGATTGGAATATACCCTTTGTATCATCAATCCATAAAATCTTTTATCAATATCTAGTAAGTCCATGAAAAATAGTTCTAGATTTGATCAAATCTATAATTGTCGTCGACAGCAATAGTCCAAGATTCAATTTCCTAAGAATAAACAAAGATTCTCAACAAGTTAGATTAGTGGTATTAATGCCACCAACGGCATAAAATGGACAAGATGCCTAAGAAAACATATAAAAAGTAATTATTTTCAAACAAAAAAAAATGATTGATATTTTTTTTTTGGTCTTAGACTATGAACTCGAATATATCGAGACAATTTTAAAACGGAAAAATAGGATTTCATTGCATAAATAGAAAGCTGACAAATTTCATGGGGTTTAAGTTGTTTTTCGATTTTGTTTTTCAGTCAACAAGTCCCTTTTTACATTTTTAATTAAGAATATTTTAGGGTTAACTTATTTTATTTTTGTTTTTCCCCAATAAATAACTTATTTTGTTGTTGATTTACAACAATACATCTGGAAACTATTTATTATTATTATTTTTATGACGTGGAATCTCACAACTTTCTATCTTTTAAACTTGTAACTCACAGATAAATTTTAAATATTTATAACCGTCCACAAACTAGTCACACTAATCTATTAAGTCGTTTTCTTTCAACAATACAGCTAGAAATTACCGATCATTGTAGTAATTATATATGTTATAAAACGTAGATGAGGCTCAACAATAATGTAATAACAACAACATCAATAATGTGTTCGATGCCGTGCTGATGACGGATATTAAGAGTCATGGACATGCATGCTTTCAAAAGCCTAGGCTTTGATCTGACCTAAGATATATATATATATATATATCAAAAAGATCGGAAAAAGATAGGCTTTATCGTTACCAATTCCTCTCAAATGTGCTTGATATCTCTCGTACATCATAGGAGGTTTGTGAATTGTTTAATTTACTGTCTCATTCATTTTGTAAATATTACACAGCCCGTGATCAATTCCTTAAGATGATTAATAAAAAATATATGGTCCGTGAACACATATCACTCTCAATCCTTTTACATTTTATCTTCATTTCATCTTGGTCTGGAAGTTGGTTGCAGCTTTAAATTATGCTATTTTGGATACTTTCATCATGACATGTATTTTAATTTCTTCAACAAATAAAGATCCTCGATCTAACAAGGATTTTAAATAGGTTCACGGAGCACACCGAAAATTTTACTTTGAATAATGAGTGTTTATAATACAGAGCTCTTAAAAAAGTCTCACCGATTCCATTGTCTGTCATAATATCAACCACATACAATCTAAAAGAACAAAGGAATTTTAATACAAAGGATCCTTAAGCTAGTCAAGGGTAGATCCAGAAATTGTCAATGGAATGGGCTAATATTTCCTTGGGTGGGCTAGTACCAATAATACATTTTTTTTTTTTGGCCGTACTAAAATTAGGTATAGTGTATTTTTTTTTTTTTTTTTGGGGGTCTTGGATCCGCCAATGAAGCTAGTGCCTCCACCATTGGAGCATTGCCTCCGGACAACTCGACTCTCGACCGAAATCCTGAATCGGTAACAAAAATTGCACTTATAATTCAAGCTTCACAACATCAACAAAGTTGAGATGGTTGAAACAATTATCAAAATTTGTGATTTAGTGTATTTCCTCATCTTCTAAAGTAAAAAGTAAAAAATTCTAATCTCGCCAAGAATATTGTAGGAGTTTCTTGTCAGAGAAAAGAAAATACTTTGTATATAAATTATTTAAAAGCTTAGATTAAAACTATAGTAGTCTCATTGGATGAACTATGCCGCACTGTGAGATATATTTATACATCTCATTACAATAGTTTTCTTCTAATTTTCCATGGACAAGTATTTTTAATTTTAATCCATCACTCACACAAATAGCTACTAGCTAGGAGTGTCATTACTTTTTGTAGTTGTGAACCCACGAGCCATCAATGTTCAATTTAATTATTGATATTTTTTTTTAACAAATTGAGAGAAGGTGATTCGAACATGGAGATACCTGTTCGGAAAGGTAAACGCTCTATCAACTAGATAATCAAATAATGTCCCATCAATTTAATTTGATAACACTTACATTTTATAGAAAATAAATACTGGTTCATTATATGTACGTGTGTTGCTAAGAAAATAAATAGTTGTTCATAACCTAATAAAGCCATTGTTGAAACTCACAATGAGATATCTCATGTCTGCAACTCTTAATCCAAAAAAGTGCAACAACCATTGTTACACACCAAAAGATCAATACTAAATTAGAAATCTTGAAAATGTTAAGCAACAAAAAATTAATGTCGACCAAAACAAGCCCTTGATATCGTTACAATATTTTATGAATAATACATTGATCATTAAGTCAATTGGTCCTACATATTCCATCATCTCCGGGTAAAAGATAATCTGAACGGAACATTAAAATTCAAAATTACATATTATTTTAACTAAAAAGAGAAAAATTTAGACTACCCTTTTTTTTATAATTATTTTTTATTTTTTATTTTTATGGGTAGGTAGGTTGTAGACTACCTTGATTGTTAATTTGAAATATTAAAGTAATGCTTTACAATTTTGTAAATCCGACGAGAGAAAGCCTTTAGGCGCCCCTTTTTGGATCATTGCAGACTGCATTGATACAGTCTTTGACAATATTAACCAAATCCTATATATAAAATTGCACACATGTATAGTAAGAAAGTATAGTTTTAGTTGCATATCTCTTGTCGGTAAAAAAAATAACACAGCTTTCTTTTTAATTTTTAATTTTTTTTTTCCTTTAGAAGAAACTTACACACACATGATCTTTTGAAAATTTAATAAATTCTCCAACTTCTCTCTTTTGAAATGTAGTGTATATATATACACCATTGGGTTACATTTCTTGGTGGGAAGTTAGATGGGTGTGCTTGAAATCCTATTAAGAGTGTAAAATGTAACGATCTCTTAGAGCGGGTACGAGACATTGAACGAGTTATTATTACATTGATAAGTTACAGGGTATCATGATTTCACATTGTCTGGAAAGGTGAAGTGCTACATAATGTTCAATACTCTTCTATGACACAACACGTTTTAAAATTATGATAGTCGTGAACCCATCAGAACTCAAAAGTTAAACATATTTACTCTTTACTAGTACCAGGATAGGTGACCATTTGAGAAGTATTTGGTCCAGATGGGTCAAAAGTGGGCTCCCACGAGGGGTGATTGTGACGACCTCCGTGGACGAGTATGATGTGGATAAGCGCGAGACACTGAACGAACTATTATACTGACAAGTTACAAAGTATTATGATCAATCATCGCCTGAAGAAGGTGAATTGTAATATATAAGATTTAACGTCTTTCTATGACACAACACGTTAAATTGTTATACTAAATTACTCCCACCTCTTTTGAGGTTTGTCCAAATTACTTACAAATAATTTTTTTAAAAAAATCACACAATGCTCTTGTCAAAGTTAACATTGTTAGTATTTTTTACCTTTAAATATTTTTATTGTTGCGACATTAAGAATTAACAAATACTCGCATCGATTTTTGTGAGACCCAACATGAAAATATTTGAAAAATCACTTTTTTATATTATTGATCTTTGAGTGTGTGTATATATATATATATATATATATATAAATGGGTACCACTCTCCAGGGACTGTCACTCTCACTCTCACTCTCACTCCCACTCCCACTTTGCCTAATACTATATTTTATCATTTTCGAATTCCCATTTTGCTTTATATAATTTAGGTTAAGATTTAAGATGACACATCAGGAAAATATTTGGAAATCACTCAAATACTTCCTAATATTATTGATACTTGAATATATATATTTCTTTGTTGCGGCAATTGACATGACATGTGGGACAACGTCTACTTCTTTTAATCTTTTAAAAATTAATAAATAAATAAAATAAAACACACGTGTCATCTAGAACTAATAAAAGAGATGTGCATCCAAAGTATATGGACACTCCCAACCATGAGATCTAAAATCTTAACATCTGGCATGGAGAGGAGAAATATATTCAATTGAGTGACCATATTAATCATATGAATAATGATATTTAGACATAATTCTAAATCAAAACGTGTAGTAAAAAGAATTTTATTCTTCTATTGTACTCGATGAGACTCAACATGATCTATTCAATACATCAAACTGGTAAATTAAACGTATCAGTTCAATTAAAAATTATTATTATTATTATTTTTAATGATATATATATTTTAAAGTATATCATAATTCACACATAGCGACAATCTTAAGTTTAAAATATCATTATATATCAAACCATCTCTAGTGACTCTGGGAGTACATTTATCCAGATTAATTAGGACAAAAACGTCACTATATATCAAACTCTTTCCTAATTATACACTCTACCAACTAATAGTGTATATATGATTATTAGATGCAACAACTCAAATATGGGAAAACGCGTTTTCTTTTCCTTTGGAATTTTCTTTTCCTTCTTTTTTCCCTTCCCTTTCCGACCATTCAAACACTATAAATATGAACCCACCACCTCACACTGCCACATATCCCCACAATAACTCATCACTCTCTCTCTCTCTCTCTCTCTCTCAGACACACACACACACATGGCGCTCTGCAACTCTTTCCTCTTCCTTATTCTCTTCTTCTTCACAACTCTCTGCTTCTCAACCCAAGAAGCCCATGACCAAAAACCCTTTAAACCACCATTAAAAAACTCACTCTCTCTCTCCTTTCCTCTCACCTCTGTTCCTCTCTCTTCTCATCACTCTTCCTCAATTTTCCTATCATCCAAACAACAAAACCCAAACTCCAAAACATCATACAGCTACAAATCATCATTCAAGTATTCAATGGCTCTGATCGTTTCTCTCCCCATAGGGACCCCACCACAGACCCAACAGATGGTGTTGGACACAGGAAGCCAGCTCTCTTGGATTCAATGCAACAAGAAAATCCCCAGAAAGGTCCTGCCTCCAACGACGTCGTTTGACCCTTCTCTCTCCTCCTCTTTCTCTATCCTCCCCTGTAATCACCCTCTCTGCAAACCCAGAATTCCTGATTTTACCCTCCCAACTTCCTGTGACCAGAACCGGCTCTGCCACTACTCTTACTTCTACGCAGACGGTACCTTCGCTGAGGGCAATCTCGTCAGGGAAAAAATCACGTTCTCAAGTTCCCAAAGTACCCCACCCTTGATCCTTGGATGTGCTCAGGATTCCGGTGAGGCCGAGGGTATTTTGGGAATGAATCTTGGACGGTTCTCATTTGCTTCCCAAGCTAAGATCTCTAGATTCTCTTACTGTGTCCCAATCCGTCAAAACCAAGTCAAAACAAAGTCAACGGGAACGTTTTATTTTGGTCAAAATCCAAATTCACAAACATTCCAGTACGTTAATCTGTTGACTTTCGATCAAGGTCAACGCATGCCCAATCTTGATCCCCTAGCCTACACCGTTGGATTGGTGGGGATGAGAATTGGCGGGAAAAAGCTGAATATATCGACGTCAGTTTTCCGGCCCAACGCCGGCGGTGCGGGTCAGACGATGGTGGATTCCGGCACGGAGTTCACGTTTCTGGTGGATGAGGCTTACAACAAGGTGAGAGAAGAGGTCGTGAGGTTGGCGGGTCCCAAATTGAAGAAGGGGTACGTTTACGGTGGAGCGCTGGATATGTGTTTTGATGGTGATGCGATGGAGATCGGGCGGTTGGTAGGAGATATGGTGCTGGAATTTGAGAAGGGTGTGGAGATTGTGGTTGATCATGGGCGGAGTTTAGCTGATGTGGGTGGAGGGGTCCACTGTTTGGGGATCGGACGGTCGGATTTGCTCGGGGTTCCAAGTAACATAATTGGAAATTTTCATCAGCAAAATCTCTGGGTAGAGTTTGATCTCACCAATCGTAGAGTGGGATTTGGTAGAGCTGATTGTAGCAAATCAATGTAAAATTGTATATGTATATGCGTGTTGATCATGTATATATATATATATATATATATTGTCCAGTGTAGAGAAGTTAATGTATCTATAATAATTCTAGCAGCTTAGTCTTTGACAGATGTTCATGAATGAGATATGAGTTAATGAAAAACATGCAATTAATATGAGTATGATACATGATACGGGTAATCTATGTGATCTGCCAAAATTTATGATCAATGTACTACATTGAGTCGGTGCATTGTATAATGGACTAATCTCGTACATTGCACGATTCACTGGACAAAACGAATATTCACTCATGGTAGGAGTACATGGTAGGAGTAAAAGGAATAATTATTTTGTTTAGGGCATCTTCTTGACTCTATTTATTTTGAAGGGAGGTGAAAATTGAAGCAATCCATGAATCATCAACGTTATTTTTCTTCTAAATGAAAGGGGTCATGGTTTTATTTTTATTATTTTTATTTTTATACATGAACATATAATTTATTCTTATTTTAATTTATTCTTACTTGGGATCTGTTTTTTATTTTATTTTATTTTATTGTTGTAAGTCTTGTACATATGTGTGTATAGTGTGATGGATTAATAGTGTTGCAAACTTAATTTCATTGCGTTGTATTATTGAAATGTGTGAATGGTCGAAATAAATACATTGCACTTGGTATATCATGTGCTATGTATAAGAGACACGAGATGTAAGTTAAGAGATGTAAGTTAAGAAAATTGTAAGGCATGGTGCAATGCATGTGTTGTGTGTTCATTTTATTTTCTATATAATGTCTTTCTTTTAATTGGAACGTTTCCACTTATTTCTTTTATGATAAAATTGTTTGGTTATGAGATAACATAAATCTATTTTTTGATGGGGCTCACATCTTTTGTGTCTGAATGTAACAAGAATTATTTGATCCATATTGAAATCGGATGAAAAAATGATTGGATATAAATGAATGGGTACGTAATACTATTCAATAATTTGAATTTTTAAATAAATGAGTAAGTGTTCATCCGTTACAATTGATATCAGTTCCAGTCATTGATCCGGTATTATAACTTGGCTTTGTGCCTTTTTTTTAGCAACTCACGTTACTACTTTTAGTGTCTTTTTTTTGTTTTTTTTTTTAAAATAAAAGATGGTTTTTTTTACTAGTATAATAATAGATGAATTGATAATACCAAAATATGCATATAAAATAACTATCCAAAGTTTTGAAGAACTCAACCTTATAATATTATTAAATGGTGGGAAGTGGGGACCACATTTGAAGTATGCATGCAATCTGGAGGACAGTTTGGTGGGGCACCACTGCCGACCTGAATTTAATTGCCCAACAAAGCACATGATAAGGATGTTCTTCTACTAAAATCAACAATTAGTTAGTACTAAATCTTTTTGTCTTCCTAACCTCGGCACGTGGCAATTCTCTATGAGTCATCAATTGACTATGCTATGAATCTTATAGTCAAATCATCTTTTTAACCACTCACTTTAAAGAACTAATCGTCTCCAATCTGCAGGACCCACCCAATTACTCCATACACTTCCTATAATTTAAATTTTTTTTATTATTAAATTGAATATGAATAATGTTAAGGGAACTTTCTTACGATTTCTTTAACCAAAAAAAAAAAAAAACTTTCTTACGATTTCATGGACACGGTATACGCAATTAGGCAAATAGGTAGCCATTTATTAGTTTTGAATGATGAACAGCCATTGAACAATTTTTATTTTCTATTTTTCAAACACATCTCTATATTTTCCTTTCCATGTTCACGATTTTTATCAAAATGCGTTTACATATTTAAAGGATGTTCACAAATATAAGTTCCACGAAATTTTTTCCTGTGGAACATTATAATCATGAAAAATTATTAAATAATCCTGATCTATTTGATAATCAGTGGACTAAGTTAAAACTATACGATCATAACATTTTATAATTTATTAATATTGTATTGTGGGATCATTTTTTCAATTCAAGAACCTGTATTTAATTGATTCAAAAAATGTTATGATCGTATATATATATGGTCCCATATGTATATATATTTTTTGTTGTGTTTGTATATATGGTCCCATATATTTGTATCCAAATTATACATTTAAATGGGGGAGAGCCCATTATTCCCATACCACCTTTTGTTTTGTCCATGCCCTAGTGTTGCTTTGGAAGTTGCTGGTAAATGGAGGGACAGATACAAAAATATGGAGGGACAGATACAAAAATATGTCAAAGTAAAGTGTGTGTATATATATATGGTCCACGCGACATTCATGAGCCCATGTCCCAAACCAGTACATGTTCTTGAAGATTTGACTACATTATCATGACCAAGGAAAGTTAATTGGGGGTTCTACTTCTTTATAGTTTTTGGTAAGCATATTAAATCTTAATATTAGATGCGCCGTTGGTTGGAAGAGATTAGTAACACTTTTAATAAACTATTGCTTTGTGAAAAAAATTGAATTATTATTATTATAAATTTTTAACTAAATGAGATGCTTTTAGAAATTACAATGGTCGTGTATTTAAGAAGCAATTGTAACACACTTGGCTTTCGAACATCAAAGTTTTCATAATACCTCTTTTAATTTAATTTAGTTTTTCGAAATTAGATAAATCCTCTTTTTATCTATGTCCTCGGGCCAAAGTTTGTTGTTGCAGAAGACCTTTTTTAGCACAAAATATGGAAGGGTTTGGATTTGATGTTTGTTGGGATTACTAATTTACTGTTGTTATATGCACAAGTCTCCGATTCAACGTGATCGATCAGAATTTATTCTTTAGGAAATGAATGTGATTAGCGATTACGATATAATTGTCTCTCAAATGATTTAATATATGCTAACTTTTGACTTGTATATGCACCTCTCTCCCCCCCTCTATATATATTATATACAAAGGCTAATAACAAAATTCAGGGTCATTTTGTGATATTACAAAAGATATATATGATATATGATATATATATATATATATATATATATATATATATATATATATAATTCAAAAAAAAACGGTGGACATTAGCTGCCTCGTCGTTATTGCCTCATTTTGTAAAATTGTAAATATCTAAAAGATATTTAATTTCTATAATACGAGAGAAAGATGTAAATATTGTAAATATGTAAAGATATTTTGGTTGAATATTCTAGAAATCTTAGCCCTATGCTATAATGAATCACAACCGTTTGTTGAGAGGGTGGATGCCAATAAAAGGGGTGGACTCTATTCTAACTGTATGTTTCATTGTCAAGAAAGTTACCGACTCATCTGCAAAGATAAATTAATCAAAATGAACAAAATCAGACTGGGGGTGTGAGAAGCATTTAGAAATGGAAAGACAAATTAATCAGAAAACGAGAGAAATTGACGTGTAGTAAGAGAAAAATTGATGCGTGATTGGAGTTAAAAATAGAGAAAGATACGGCATTGATATTTACGGCATTGATGTTGTAGCTCCAACTTTATTTTGTAATGGTAGATAAAACTGTACAATATCTATATAAAATAATATATGAAGTTATAACTATTACTATTATTATTGTCATTCTGATTGATTGTGCTCGGAGTCGTACCTCCTTTCTCTTTCAATTTTAAAAAAATGTTGAATTTTTAAAACAAAAACGCAAACTGCGGAGGTCACTGAATTACAGTTGAGGTGAAAATTGATTCATACAAGCCCATTTGATGTTGGCTTCAAAGTTCCTCACCTTTGGTTCACATCAACCATACAATATCTATGGCCTCTGCAGTAGCAAGGGACAATGTCAGTTTTAACTGATATTTTACCGGAGAAATACAACAACAAAAACAAAACACAACAAAGCTCACAACTAGAGCAACCAAGAGCATACATCTCAGCAGATGAGCTCAACAGAAATCACCACAATATAGCAATGAACAAAAAGGAAAACGAAAACATTAATCAACCAGAAGAAAAATTATGCCATTTCATTTATATAACAAAAAAAGAGAAAAAAAAATAATAAAAGCAAGGAAGCAAAGAAATTAAAGTGCTAAAATCATCACCCTAAATTAATATATAGTATAATATTGTATAAATGATCTGGTAAAAGCCCATATTTCCCGCAATGGCACTCCTTGGAGGAGAAGCAGCGTGCACCGGGCACATCACATCCGTTTATGTCGTGCACGCGTGCATATGGACGATTGTGATGGCCGGTGCACGTGCACATTGAATATCTTCTCGATGTCCTTGGAGGCTCATCAGGGCCATCAGTGATGCAATATTAAGACAGTTCCTGATTGACATATGATTCGATATCATTAACAATCAACATGATCATATCAGAGTTGAGTAGTAATACAGTGAGAAAGGCCGGTGGTCATCAAGATAAGGGAGGAAGCTATCATGGTGGACTGAGTAGCAGAGGGATTGGTGGTTGAAGTTGCAGGAAAAGTGGCCATTTGAGAATCGGGAAAAAAAATGGCGTTTGTCTCAAAAAGCTCTGAGAGACATGTATTAATGTATTTATAATAATCACATATTACATATAATATTTGAATTTATGTAACAAATAAGTTATATGTCCTTATTTGGAATGCGTGTATTTGAATTTATGTAACAAACAAATCCCGTCTATAATATATTTGATATTTAAACTCGGAAGTGATCTTCTGTTGGTTGTTGATGATATCGAATCATATATGTCAATAAGGAAATGAAATGTCTTAATAAGCAGCAACTCCTTCATAGGTTAGAGCCCTATAGGCGTCCCTTGTTAAGTAGTCATTTTAGAGCAGATTTAAAAAAGGCCTTACTAAGAAGTGTTGCCATAGTGTTCATAGATCAGTATTATTGCTTAATCTACATTTTAAATATATATACATGTATGTACACACATACATATATATATACACACACACACACACACACATACATAGTGTATTTATGAATATATATTTAGTACGAATATATATAGAGAGAGCAGGATGTGTTGTTGCCAATGCAGTAGCATCCAACCCAAGCTTCAAGTTTCATTGGAGATGCAGTAAACTTTTAATTACCCACCTTGCTTTTGCAGATGATCTACTTCTTTTCTCCTTTGGAAACTTGCCTCGGTCAATGTATTACACACTGCTTT